AGAGAGAGAGAGAGAGAGAGAGAGAGAGAGAGAGAGAGAGAGAGAGATCACTTGCATATGAGCCAGCACTGTGCAGCAGCCACCAAAAAATCTAATACAATTCTGGGCTGTATAAACAGAGGCATAGAATCAAAGATCACGTGAAGTATTAGTACTGCTTTATAAAACCCTAGTAAGACCACACCTGAAATACTGCAACCAATTTTGGTCACCATACTACAGAAAAGATGTTGAGACCTTGGAAAAGGTTTAGAGGAAAGCAAACTAAGATGATCTCGAAGGCCTGGAGGTTAAAAATATATGAAGAAAGCTGCAGGATTTGGATTTAGCTAATCTAAAGAAAAGAAGAATTAGGAGTGAACGATAGCAGTATTCCAGCGTTTGAGGGGCTGCCACAAAGAAGAGGGGGCCAAATTATTCTCCAAAGCACTAGAAGGCAAGACAAAAAACAGTGGACGGAAACTAATCAAGGAGAGAAGCAACCTGGAATTAAGGAGAGACTTCCTCACAGTGAGGAAAGTTAACCAGTGGAACAGCTCTCGCCTTCAGACATTGTGGATACTTCATCACTGGAGGCTTTTAAGAAGAGACTGCACAGTCACTTGTCTAGGATCTCCTGTTTGAGGGGTTGGACTAGAAGATCTATTCTATTCTATGCTATTCTATGCTATGCTATGCTATGCTGTGCTGTGCTATGCTGTGCTATGCTGTGCTATGCAATAATCCATATTGCTGCCAAGAAAATACTGGCATAATTAAGCTGTGTTCAAGCAGTTATAGAATTATTAGGTTACTGTGATAATACTAGTGAAGGGATCATCTCACCCTGCTTCCGCCATGCAATAGGCACAAGTTAGTATCAACAATGGTCAGTAAAGATGAGATGGAGGCAGGGGTGGGATTCTATCAGTTCGGACCAGTTCTATAGAACCGGTTGTTATGATTCTGCGCAGTTCGGAGAACCGGCAAATCGTGCCCCTGGCTGGCCCTGGCCCTCCCCGTCCGCCCCTCCCATCCCCGCCCAGTTCACTCCTTATGTATTTCTTTCCCCCCCTCCCAACGATTAGCTGTTCCGATGATCAGGTGTGCCAGGATCCCCCATGCTGCCTTATGCTTTGCCCAGGAGGCTTGCCTGAGGTCCAGATCCATAAATGGAGCACAATTTCCATCAATAGCCTCTTTGGATTTTTTTCAAACCTCATCTAAATGTACCCCTGACTTATAGCAATTTAATTCTGAAAGTAAGGGAAAACAAATGGAGTAAAACAGAACAAGAAATAAAACGACATGTGAAAAAAGAAGGAATGGCCTGTAACTTATGAACCAAGGAAGGCAGGAATGGAAGGACAAAGTCAATGCAGATCAAAGCCAAGCTGGACTTGACTCTGTGGAGGAATGCAAGTCTCCATGATGTTATTTAGAATTATCAGATATCTTGTCTAAGCCATACAATGGGCGCTTGCTTCTCTTGATGTCCAGGCGAAGTCTGGGATTGATCAAGAAAAGTATGTGAAGGAGCAGATTAGATCAGTTGCTTTCCCCCAGGCAAGTAGCCTTCAGGTGATTTGCAACTACGTACACAGAGGTAATATTCAGCCCATTCTGACTGGTTCTGGCAGACCAGTAGCGGAAATTTTGACTGGTTTGGAGAAGCAGCAAATACCACCTTTGGCTGGTCCCTCCCCTCCCCTTCCAAGAGTTTCCCCTCCCCTTCCAAGAGTCCCCCCCCCTGTCTTGGTTCCCAGGAGGCTGCAGGGAGGCCTGCTATGCCCAAAATGAGGAGGGGGGGGCTTCAAGGGAGAAAAAAAGAAAATGGAAGAAAGAAATAAAGAGAAAGAGAGAGGGAGTGAGGGAAGGGAAGGGAGAAAGAAAGAGAACGAAAGAAAGAAAGAGGAAGGTAGAGAGAAAGAAAGAAAGGGAGGGAAGGGAGAAAGAGAAAGAAAGAAAGAAAGAAAGAAAGAAAGAAAGAAAGA